GAGCATAGAGAGAGGGACAGTAGAAAAGGGGAACATGATCAGGTATTGGGAGGGGGCAGGAGTAAAACTCCGAAGGCCAGCAGAATAAATGGAAGTATACAACCTCGGGAGGTGGGAGACCCTCTAGAATGTACCAGAGACTGGGGAAGTGAAAGAATCTCAAGACTCAAAGGGAAGTACCTTAAATGAAATGCCCAACAGTGGGGAGAGGAAACTTGTAGAAATCACCTCCAGTAGAAAGACAAGGCATCAAGAGGAAGGATGGGGTTGCCATCCCACAGTCAAAAACTCTGACCCAGAAATGTTCCTGTCTAAAAACTGCAGGGACAAAAATGGAGAAGAGACTGAGGGAAAGAAGGTCCAATGCCTAGTCTGGCCTCAATGAGGGAAGATGCACCTAACCCTTGAGAGACTTGAGCCCCAGAGAATGGAGATGCCTGGCTAGGTGTTAGGGGTTATACATGGGTGTCGGGGCATCCTATTGGAGAGAGGGGAGAAGGAATGCGATGAGGAACTGTTGGAGGGCAGAATGAGAGGGTGATAATGACTGGACTGAAAAAAAGATTAAAGATAATAAAACAGATAAAAAAGAATATTTGATCTTAAAATGTGTCATATGCATTTTAACAGCCTATAGAATATTTTCTGTAATAGATCACATATTATGAGAAGAAATAAGTCTTAACAAACATAACAAAACTGAAACAATTGTTTGATTTCTATCTCATTCAATGGAAGAAAGCTATAAATTAATAGCTTAAAAAAGCTATAGAACATACACAAGCTTGCAGAGAATAATGAAATTCTACCTTATTGAATTAATAAGTCAGACAAAATCAAGAAGGAAAGTGATAAATTGTTTTGATGTATTGAAATGAATACAAAGTACATGGAAATATATGTGATACGATGAACACGAGGCCATCATAAGAAAGAAGCCATTGCTTTAATGGCATCCATTAACAAGGGAGAGAGATTAAAACAAAACAAAACAAACAAAATACGAAAGGGCAGGACACTGACAATGTTCATGGAGGTATATTATCCTGATACTTAAACCAGACAATGACAATGTTCATAGAGGTATATTATCCTGATATTTAAACCAGACAATGACAATGTTCATGAAGGTATATTATCCTGATACTTAAACCAGACAAAGACACACGGAGAAGAAAATTATAGATGAAACTCCCTGATAAAAAATTTCTCAAAATAAATAGTTGAGAAATATCTGCAAGGCTACAAAATAGTCAGAGACACCCCCATTCCCATTGTTAGGAGTCCCAGAAGAACACCAAGCTACACAACCATAACATATATGTATAGGACTTAGCTCAGACCCATACAGCCTCCATGATTGTTGCTAGAGTCTCTATGAGTCCTTTAAAACACTGCTTAGTTGATTCTGAGGGCCATATTCTCATGGTACCTCTACCCCTCTGGCTCCTACAATCCTCCCTTACCCTCTTTTGTGAGTTTTGCTGAGCTCCATCTAATGTTTTGCTGTGGTGTCATGATAATTTATAATTGGCTAGGCACCCATCAGTGAGTATAACAGAATGTCATTAGGAATCATTTCATTGACTTTTGGGGGAAAGGCCAGCCATATTTAATTCTAACCTAGGTTTCTTCACTCTCCATCATCTGGGTGCTAGCCACCCAGGCACTGTCAGGCATGGCTCCCTCTCTTGGCATCGGCCTCAAGTTGGCCACTCCCACCAAGTTCTGTACCAACATTGTCGAAGCACATCTAGCATATCTTGTAGGTAGGGCATGTCAAAGACCACCTTCAACACCACAGGTAAACTGAGAAAAGCAATGAGATGTGGAGTCGGAGATTACTGTCAGTTAGTGCTGATAGCAGCCAACCACAACCCCCACTCCTACTTCCCTATTGACAGTGGCAAGCAATTTATAGGGTAAGTACTGTAAGTGCTGAAGTGAGCAAAACTCTATTATCTGGAATTGGTACCTCTCTGTGACCAAGAAGAAACTCTGAACTTTAACTCTTTAGGTGCCAGCAAGAAAGAAAGAGGGGAAAACACACACACATACACACACACACACACACACACACACACACACACACACTGAATGAAATAAAGCAGGCTCCAACAAGCAAGCTCCAACAATTTCACAATACATACATATGTACACACATACAGAGAGACAGACACATATTTACACATTCAGTGGATGGACCAAAGCAGGATCCAACCATTTTACCTATGTATACATATACACGTATGCACATTTGATGGATAAAGCAAAGCTCTATCGAGTAATCTCTAACCATTTCACATACATACATACATACATACATACATACATACATACATACATGCATGCATACACACAGTTGGTAGACAGAGAGAAAGCCACCGATTTTACATATTTATACATATTTGGTGGATGGAGAGGAACTCCGACAAACTTACTTTTTCCTTTAATCCTTCTTATATCTCCTGTGACAAAGTTCTCTAGGTAATAATAGAAATGACCTCAACAATAGATAAAATGTTACACAAGGGTGAGTTAGGGCAGAATTATTGATTACAAGTTCAAAGCAGTAGGCTGATCTATCTTTCGTTTCATAAGTTCATTTCATAAGGTCAAATTAGTAGTTTATATTTACAGAATTACCCAATCTCAGCATCGCTTTACTTTACTACGGTTAATACCTGTGGCCTCATCCCTGGACCTGATCTAAATTGAGTGATTTTATTGGTTATTAATCTCCCAAAGGCCATTTTTCTTCCTACTAGATTTTTCATGCTTGTAGCACATAAAAGATTATTGTATTTCTTTTCATGCAGCCTTTATATACTATTCTATGTGGAGGGAGCACAATGTCCTCTTGATTTAATGTTATTATATCTTTATCATATCTTTATTTAAGCTATCTCAAATTTTCTATCAACTAACTACTCTGACTTCCTAAACTTATTTGAATCAACTCAGGAATTCTATGAAAATGTGAATTCATCTAAACAGCATTAGTTCATAAAAATTCATATTCTTTTTGATCTATAGGAAACAAAAGGATGTGCTAATACGTGGGAATCAGTCATAACAGACTATAGGCAGGAAGAATCCTCCTTTGCCCAATCACACCATGTCAGAAAGATGAGGAATACAGCAAAGACAAACATGGGAAGGCTCGTCAGTATCAAGAAGCAATCCTGGGACACAGCTTCTGGGGCCATGACTTTCCGGGATCCACCCACTATAGTCATGTAAACTGCTGGGCCTTCTACAGAGAGTTTAGTTGCCCACTGCAGTTCCTCCTGCATGGCATCTGCCAAGAACGGGTTGAACATTGAAGATTTTGCAACTGGGTTCATATCCCAGTGCCATCACTTGGAAAGCCTTGGCTGATTACAGAAGATGGCAGGGTCTGGCTCCATATCCCCCAGGGCTAGGAGTCTTTGCTTGGAACATCCTTGTAGATTCCAATAGATTCCCACTGCACTAAGTTTATACCTTTTCTCATCAAATGCTTCCAATTCCAATTGTCTCTCCAAGTGCTCTCTCCCTCCATTCCCTCCTCATCTGATCCTTCTCATTTCCACCTGCCTCGAGTCCACCCACCAAATCCTCTCTACTTCCCCCTCTCAAGAAGACCTATGCATTCCCCTTTGACCCCTTTTTGGTTACTTAGCCTCTCTGTGTCTGTGGATTATAGCATGCTTTTCCTTTACTGAAGATCTAATATCTACTTATAAATGAGTACATATCATGTTTGTCTTTCTGGGTCAGGGTTACCTCTGCATGATTTTTGTGCCCAGTCTTACTGTAACTTGTGATGCCTTTGGAGGCCTGCATATTTCCGAAGGAAAATGGAAGAGAAGTGGAACTAGGGGAAAAGGGAGATGGGAACAGGGAACTGGAGGGAGTGGAGGGAATGGAAACAGCAGTCACTTTGTAGTGTATTAAAGAAGAATAGAAAATACTTTTAAGAAACAGGAAACCACTTATCATTAATAAGTTGACTTTATTCCAGAAATACCACAGGTTGGATTTGATATATTCCAAAACAATAAGTGTAATACATGATCTCATAAATGGATTAAAGACAGTAATCATGTGAACATCAATAGATAGGAAAAGGCCTTTTACAGAAGCCCATTATTTAGTCAAGTAAAAGTCCTGCAGAATCTTGGAAGAAGGAACTTAACCCATGTGTATGTTCACATCAACAATCACATACACATATCTTTATGATAGCATAAAAGATGATAAGAAAAATCCATTTGAGACTGGCCATGGGTACTCTTTATATTGTCCAAACTGTACACAGAACTATTACTTTATGATTTGAAAATCTGAATAAATTAAAATTTAATAATAAAATTAAAATTGTGTGTTTGAATTTGTGGTCATTTCATGTTGCAGGGAGAATTTAGAATACCATATTATTCAGGGGCTTCCATGAATGATCTATCCTGTGAATTATTTTTAATAAATCAGATCATTTTACATATTTTTTCTTTCTCTCAAGCCAGAGAATATTGACATAAGTGACTTATTCAAACAGTGCCTGGTCCACACAGGTAGTAAGACAGGGGAAGTTTGAACTGAGACTAGTGACTAAGACTTGTGGAATCTAAGCAAAAAGATTGATTCCCCTTCCAGAGCCTTGGTCCTAATGTATGAAATGTGTTATGATGTGTTCTTCAGACAGCCTGATATCAGATATCACAGTATGGGCCAGGACTCTTCCTTTATCAGTATTTTAGGGTTTCATCACTGCAAATTAAAAGTTGGTCTTTTCTTCAGGAGCAATCATGTCAAAAATAAAGTTAGATTAATTTTGAAATGGTCACAAGATGATACAGTCTCTTGATGGTCATAATTTTCACTAAAACCAATGATTTAACAAATGAAACAACAGCTTAAAAATCAAAGATAATTAAGGAGATAAAATACCAAGCAAGAAAATATTTGTACTTATAAAAGCAAGAGACTTTCAGAAAGGTTTAAAATCATGCAAAAAACTAAAGCTGACTGTCAACGTCATATTTCCTAAGCATGGCTAAAACTTCCTCAGAAACCTCTTTCCTAGCATTTAATCCCAGTATAAAATCAAAATGACTAAAATCAGAAATAGTCTTATGGTATACGAGGTTGGGGATTTTGGCTTTCAAAATTTCAACATCTTCTGGATTAGACAAAAAATCTTTTAAACCACTAAACATGGCAGTTGGAACCTTCATGTCTTCCACATTGTATACTGGAGGAGTAGTCTGAAGGAAAATGGCAAAGAGCAATGCATTAACAAAAACAAAATTAACAAAAATTCAACAAGGCATTAACAAAAATAGAAAACTCTTTATGGCTTATTCTCATCTGTGACAGGATAATTGTAATGGCACACTTATTGTGTTCACTGAAGTCATTGATCTCCGCCTTTGTCAGATAAAAATTAATCTTATATTTATATATGTATTTACTGTAGTTTTGTCACAGCCACTCTCTATGTAGTCTATGCTGCTCTCTTCCAGAATCCTCCCTTCTCGCTGTCCTTAATTCTGAGGTTACTGCTGTGTGCCACCACCCCCCTATTATAGTGGTCTGTCATCCAAGCTTGAAATCATACAAGTCCCAAGTTCTCTGAACCTAGATCTCTACATGTGAAATGACTATATCAATAAGTGTCTGATAATTCCCACAAAATTTTAAGAGATTCAAATGATGTGTTAGACAGAACTTTGTCACAGTATCATTATACAAAAGATAATGCTATTCATTTTGATTCTTCTCGAGTTCTGTGCAATCCCTCTTCCTAAGAAAAATGAAATGTCCCCCAAAAATCCCAAAGTGACATTTTAAAAATGAGGACTTTGGTTATATTTCTTTGACTATATAGCTTTTGTAAAGGCCAGGTCATTAAATCTGAAAAAAGAGACTTACTTGACTGTAGTGTTGCATATTCAGAGATGGAGGTCCCCAATCATAAGCTCGAAGTACAGCATTTCTTTTTGCCTTACATTCAGAGAAAACATACCATTACTTACAAAGCCTTACACTATGATAAAACCAACATTTATTGAGCTCTATTTCCTCTTTCTAAAGTAATGACACAGTGGGCCCAGATAAACCTGTACATTTTCTATCCTAATGATATGTATTGTTTGATCAATGGCTACTAAATTAAAGTCCTAGAGAATTATGCAACATATGAAGTATATGTATATGTATATAAAGGACCTTCAAATGTAAATTTATTTTTATATCAGCTCAAACAAAATATACTTTACAATCATTTTAATAATGCTTAAGATGTATCAATTAATATATACTCAACAGCAGGAAAAGTCAATAAGAAGCTGAGAACATATCATCCATGAATGGTAAAAGTTTAGTTATCTGTGGAAAGTAATGTATCATTCTATGATAAATTTAGTTTTAGTAGTGTTTAGTAAATCTCATTTTATGTTTATTTCAAATTATCATATTTGTTTAATTATAAGAATCTAAATTAATGCTTATAAGAAGAATAAAATGCAAAATCTCAAATTAGTACATGCAAAAGTTACTTTATTACTCTACAATTAAAATGAATTCAGAATATATTTCAGAGTGATTTGGTTCCTGTTTGGAATAATATTTTATATAATAAAATTTGTACCCTTCATATATAATTTCATTTACATAATTGTTCTTTAATATTGTACAACACAATTTTCAAAAATATTATGGTAGAGTTAAATTGAATATTCTTTGTTTCTAAAAATAGAAAAACTTAAGAAATTATAGTGATCAGAAGTAAATAACAGAAACAAATGTTAAGAGAATTGCAGAACCATGAATAGAATTTTGCAAACAAAGCAATATAAAGTGGCATCCCTTAGGATGTGACATATGCTGACTTATTGATAATGGATAATAGAATAAAAATTTTCATACCAGAAAAGACACAGGATATTCAGGGGTCACCCTCAGGTATATAATTTAAGTTGTATATGTTTGAATAGAATTAAACACAAAACAAAAGGACCTTGTAAGATGCCTGTGCTCTGTATATGTACCAGTTTACAGCTAGTCAAATAACATCAGTCCAATCACATCATGTACATATATAAAATCTACCACAGTTTACTCATAGTCCTCAAGGGCATCTACAATTCTTATCTTGCATCAGTTGTGAAATTAATTACTAAAATTTTTTCTAATTGGAATATATATTCCAATAAAACATATCTATGTGTGTGTGTGTGTGTGTTTATGTGTATATATGTATACACACATGCAGGAGTGCTCAAAGGTTTGCGAGGAGGCTGTCTCCAAGCAGCCCAAGAATTAAATGCTTTTGTAGTAATTAGACTGTAACTAGCCTAGAGGGTAAAATTAGACTTCTGTACACTTTATATTCTGGCATTTTGTATTTATTAGTAAAATAATACAGGAATACTTTGTGGTAATAAAGCTAGTGACACAAATAAAATAGAGTCGTGGTTTGTGGCAAATTGTATCTTTAATAATTTTAAAATGAATAAACTAAGCAATTCTGTCCCTGTTTGAAAAAATATTATAATTAAGCTTCCTTCTTGGAAAATCTCAGTCACACGATTTTACAGGCAAAATAGACCAAATATTTATCTTATAAAAAATGCAATAACAGAATGTTCCCCTACTCCTTTTATGAGGTCAGCATTTCTATCACACTAAACTTAGAAAAGAGCATACAAAAAGGAAACACAGTCAGAAATGAAGTTGGCCGTTGGCTGAGCAGCTCAGATGGTTTGTTGCTTAGCACTGCATAAAACTTACATAGTAATAAACACCTAAAGTACCACTGCATAAGAAGCAAAGGAAGGAGAATCAAGAACAGTCCAAGGCTGTCCTGAGTGAATGAAGTTTTCATTCTAAAGAGAAGTTGATGGCACAAGGCGAAGGTTACAATGGAAAAGACGCTTTACCTGCAATCTCACTGTAAATGTCAATGAAACTGCACTTGGCACTCTAAATAAAGCAGACACTGAAAAGTGTTTAAGAACCTTAAGTGACAGCAAGGATGTCCAGGAATTTTACCATTGTACTTTGATGGTGGCAAATAATATCAGAGACAGACTTGGAATCCTGATGCTGTCATAAGATGAAACCCAAACTGAGAAAAGGGAAAACTGCCCTCACTTGGAGGACTGATATTTGTACAAACTTTATTTATCTTTAATGAAAACATATCCTAATGGTTCTACAATATTATGGCAGTAGCTTTGTAACTAGAATAATGATATTAAGAACAATGAAGAAAATTTAGTCTGTACAGAGGTAAAACAATGACAAGTATAAAGGAAAATGTACAATAAGTGAAACAGTGTGAAGGTTATAGGAAGACAGTGGTAGAAAACTTTAAAGTGAAATATTAGATAAGATAAAATACATTAGGAAACATGTCAAAAGATTATCCCATGTATATGTGGTAGAATCTTCCTCTAATAAATAAACACTACAAGTGACCAATCACTGGGTGACTGGGCGGGAGTTCTAGGTTGGAAAGAAGAAGAGGAGAGAGGAAGCGGGGCGGTTTTTGGAGGGCAGGAATGAGAGAGACTAGCAGAATGTAGGAAGCCAGATGCTGTTGTTTCTAATGGCGGATCCGCCTTGATCCTCCACCTGAGGATTTCTAACATAGAGTAATTTGAGAAACTAGGATACTAGATTCTGTGCCTAGCTATTGTGTTACCTGTTGATTCTAAACTAAGATTGTGTGGTGTTTTCCTTCACACCACGACTCAACTGGGTTCCAGAGAAAGGTATAGCAGTAGAGTGTAGTGTGCAAGGGTACATCCCAGCCAGCCATGCGAATTTGGAAACACAGAGCATGTGTGGCAATAGCTAGCACTGAGAATTTAGTGATGCTGGAGGAGAGAGCCCTGGCTAAAAGGAAGGAATGTGGTCTTGGCCTGTCTGCCATGCTGGAAACAATTGAGGCTGTCTGCCGGTGGTAGCCGACCTTAGTGTGATGCCTTTTATATTTTTCATGTAACATGCTTATATGTATGCAATGATAATAACTAAAGAGACAGTCATGAGTTTGAAAGAGAAGAGGGTCACAGAGGAGTTGAAAGAGTATAGGGAGGGATGGGAAAGATATGGATATAGTACTAATGTATAACATTCTGAAAAATGAAAATTTAAATTAATAAGAACTAGATAAAAGACCAAAATATAGATTAAAATCACATACATGCTAGAGAAAGTGCACAGGAGAAAATGCAGGCTGCCCAGCTTTGAGGTGAGACTCACTGTAGCCATCAGGGGAGGTGAGGTGGACGAGTGAGCACTAGACTGTACCGGTAGATCTCTTCTTTAGCAATCTAACTTTGAAAAATGTAAATATTCTACCACTTTGAGTTCATCACAAACCTTGATAGTTGTCGGAAAGAGGTAAGATCCAAGGTTCCCAAAACCTCTGGTATTTTGAACACTGTAAACTGGACCCAGAAAAATGTTGAATTTAATCTTTGCAACCAGTTCTTGATTTGTCGCAAATGCCCCAATAGCTGAAAGACATGATATATACATATACATTATACATATACATTATACACATACACATATACATACATATGTATATGCATATATATATTATATGAGTATTAAGATGTTAAACTCTTTCCATTCAATTTGCTTCTCCCCCCCACCACTTACTGTAAATGATGCTCTTTATGATTCACCATTAGAAAAAGCCAGTCTGGAGGAAGAAAAATATTCTGCCCTTAATAAATTCTGGAATTCTATTACTTTGGCATTTTCTGCTCTGGGCAATTCCACCTAGTTTACTTTGTTTTGTCTTCTCGCCAATATGTAGCTTATTGACATTTATTAAAGACTTACAGATGGCCTTTGATTTTTTTGACTGCTGGCTCACATATTTGAGACTGACTGTAATTAAGGATCAGCTCAGAACTTTTAAAAAATAAAATCTTCCCTGATTCTTGGAAGTGACACTTATCCAAAATGTCACACATTGATTTTAGTGATCTCTAGGTTTTTAATGATGTTCCTTCACATGCCCTCTATGTAGCATCTCCAGGCCATTCATGCAGGTACACACCTATATACAAATCTATCTACTTACCTATCTACAGTCATTCTGTCTGCCACATTATAAATTGAGCAAAGAATATGAAGAAGAAATTTTAAGTTAGCTTAAAAATAATATAGCAGAAAGCCTTGATTCATAAGCACAAGTAGTTAAGAACGCAGATTTGCTAGCCCAAGGGTTCACAAAGAATGCAGAGCTGGAGAAACAAAGGTCAATTGAGTGTTCCGGGAGTTGGCTGACTGTAACAAGTTGGAAGTTGGGAGGATGCACAAGGACAAATCCCTGAGAACAAGTGAATGATGAGATACCCATCTGTTCCCGTGATGTTTGACTTAACCTCCTCTGAACCCCCCCTCGCCTTGGGGCCCACCAAATGTTTTAGGGATTTGCAGTCTAAAATTAATCAGATGGTTTGTTGACTCAGATAAGCATCCGCCCCTGGGTTCTGAGAGAACAGGAACCCATGGTTGTTCCTGGAGCTGCTTGCGTACTCTGCTGATGTTCAAATATATGAAACAGCCAATCGTGTGTAAGCGAGTCAAGACTTCCCACTCTCCCCGATCCTTGCCTATATAAACCCCAAGCTTCTGGCCTCGGGGTCGACTCCTCTGTCTCCTGTGTGAGATACGTGTCAACCCGGAGCTCCGTCAGAAAACTGCCTTGTGTGATTACAGCAAGACGGTCATACGTGTGTCCTTGGGTGTGTGGCATCCCGAGACTTGAATGAGAGTCCCTCTTTGGGAGTCTTTCAAATGCATTAGTTAAAAATATTTTCCCTCGGAGGACAGTTGGAACCATCTACCCTTGGTCACATTTGTTCTTTGAAAATATATACTTTCTCCAAACCCAAAGAATATCAATCAAAGCTCTATGAGAGCTGACCAAGACAGTGGAGACAGATTCATAAAGCGTTTTCTAAGAAAAATGAACACTCTGATTTTCAGCATGTACGATACCATTTGAGAAAGAACACGCACGCGCACACACACACACACACACACAGTGAATTATTAGTCTCAGACGTTCTAGATATAGAGAACCCTAGGATATCTCATATATGTACTTCATTTAAATATTTTATGCATTAGAGACTATGATTTCAACATTTGACATTTTAAAGCAGACTACAGTTGTTATCATCTGTCAGAGCTTTTCTGTTTTACAAAGAGGTGCAAATTATATGTATATAATTGTGTTCTTCAAGACAAAATTTCAACATTGTTCTTTTCTCGCATACCGATCAGGGTTCCTTGAGAATGGCCAATATAGTAAATCTGCTTTTGTCCTGTTTTCTCCAGAATGAAATTAATGGTGGCCGGAAGGTCATATGTTATCATTTGATCAAAACTGCAAGAAAATAGAATGGAGAAAAGGTGATTTAGTGACTAACCAATAAATAATTCGCTTCTGTTTAAAATGATGTCTCTATGTGATCTATGTGAAGGGAGACACGGTTCACAAAGTGGTGTCAATTATCAACTGCTACCTGCATGTTCACTATGTTACCACCTTATGTTCACCATTTCTCTGTGATCATTAATTTCCTATGACATTTGTCCACGATTATACACATTGCACAGAATTAAGCTAACATTGCTATGTCCACAGTGAATGAATTGTTAGACTTAATCCAGATCTGCTTAAGAGCCAAATTTGTAAAAATTCTAGGTTCTCCACATGATTTAAAATTGGGAAATAGGAAATCTCCTCCAAGCTCCCACTGGGAGAGAGAGAGACAGAGACACAGACACAGAGACAGAGACTGCTAAAGGTATAAAGATGAATACATAAAGGAAGATGATCAAACAAATTGATGAGATAATATTCTACTATTTTATGACACAAAGTAATCACATGTGCTATTAACTGCCTCCCTTCTCCGTTGCCTGTCAGTCTTTCCTCTAAGAAAATATCAACAGTATCAGCTGAGGAGGCAGCTCATTGGAAAATAATTGAGGAGTGAGTTTGATCCCAAGGATCCACCTTTATAAGAAGAAAAATCAAAAACAAAAAAAGTTATTATAGTGCTCACCTGAAGTCCCAGCAATGCATGTGTAAAAATAAGCAGTTTTACTAACCACCCACCCTGTCCTACTTAGAGATTCCCAAGCCAGAGAGGCACAGTGTGTCTAAGGAATGACACTTAAATTTGTACTCCGATGCTCATTAAACACATGGACATGAATATACATGTATTTCATATTCACAAGTATGTATACACACACAAATCAGAATACATGTTTAAAGTAAAGAGTAATGGGGGATGGCTGTATGCGAATGTCTAATATACAAGATCATTGTTTTAAATATATCAAGTTTACTTCAATGAAGCAATTTTTTTACAGATGTGGGTAAGATCTGTAAGAAGACTCAGTGAGCACAGGCACTTGTTTCCAGGCCTGTTGCCCTGAGTTTCATCCCAAGGACAAACATGGATAAAGGAGATAACCAATTCCCATAAGTTGTTTTCTGACCTCCAAATATATACTGAAACACTTACATACACAGATTCACACACAGATACACACACACACACACACACTGTGAATGAGTACAATCTTTTAAAATAAGTGGATTGATTAAAAGAGTAATTAATATTTCAAGAGTAGAAGATAGGCTCTAATGATAATTTAATTACTATGTGTTTTACCCATAATACAAAGTCCTAAACTATGTCAGTCAAGTCAGTCTTCTAAGTGAAATGCCTTCAATCCTGCTCCACAAAATTATTTAACTATTAAAATATTTTACATCCTTTTAGGGCAAAAGTAGAAATCACATGGAATTGTTTCCTACCTAAAAGCCCAGAATTCTTTAGAATCTGCGTTGAGAGTCACATGTTCTTTTGCCCAGGTACTTCCTCTGCTGTTTCCCAACCACACATCATACCCAGCATCTGCTAGGATGAAGGCCAGGCTGTTGTTGGGAGGATTGGAAACCCATACACCAGCAGTTGAAAATAAGCCATGTTGACAAAATACTACCATCTTTGGGGCTGCAAAAACAATCATGAAAATGCTTTACATCATTAGCATCTACTGAAAATGTAAGCAAGAACATCAAGTACTTGTAATGGAGCCAAAAGATTTAAAAACTAGCACACAGGGATGTGCTAAGACTACATTTCACTTATGTTGTGTCAGTCAATGTTAATCAATATGGAACTGTGCAAAAGAAGATTCATTTCTACAGTATCTTGGTCTCCCTTCTATCTCATCCTCTTCAACCATAAATTTCCTCACATCTGTTCATTTTTTAAGTTTTGTAGTTTGTAGTTTTTTAAAAGGAATGCTTTATATCTTATAAAATCCAGAGGCAAATATACAGAAATACTAATGACTAAACATCCAAGATTAATATGCAGTTTCTTTTAAAACTCACTGGACTCTAAGAACATCCAGGGCTTCTAGTTGGATACGAGGAATGAACCAGGTCTCATGTGTTACCATCTGGAGCATAAACTGTGAATGCTCACACAGGGAACTAAGGGATCTCCCACATGCAGTGTGCTTGAAAATTATTTAGGGACTCAGTGCCCTCTGTAGAAACACATCCTTGTCCTCATAGTGATCAATGAAAGCTGGGTTCCTTTAAGCCCCAGTTCAGCTATGGAGTCAGGGAGCTCCAATTGCTCTTTTGAAATAACTCAGTTTGGAGGTAACTCTTTAGTAAGTCATTGCTTAACATGTCATTGCCTCAGGGTGCTGATGGCTTTAATATTCATCTCACTCAGATCTTACCTGAACTATCAGCATTATTCTTCCCATGAGGAATGTGGTTAATTGGAAGAATGTAACCGTCATCAGTCACAACCTTATATTCTTCACTTGGATATCCCCAGTGTTCAATAATCTCACTCTACAAGGGAAAACACACAATAATGATTTTCATGAATTTTTTTATATTCACTCATTTTTCATGATTCTTAAAATACAGTTTCTTCTGGAATGAAGTCATCATTCATGGTAAATGTTCAGATTGTAAGAAATGCAATGATTTAGAAAAGATGAAATTAATAGAGATAAAGCAAATATATTTAATCTTATTAGGGATAAGAATAGCTTACAACATTCATGTGAGCTTCAGGATTCTTGTTTTGTTTCAGTAAACAAAATATCTTTCCAGATACATGGATAAGGCACATTGTACTCAGTAGCCACTGCATTTTAAACCTGCAAGGAAGTAGTTGTTGTTATGAGTAGCTAAAGACACAGTACTAACTCAGCTTATTACATATATATTATGTCTATATGTTACCTTCCCTAACTGAAAGTTTTCATATTATATAGAAAGCATCTTACTTATTCACACAGGGGTTACAAACACAAAAAGGTAGGACGTGGGGAAGGGGATGACACCATAGTGTGGGTGTTCAGGGGGAGTACAGATATCTTTCAGAACAGGGTATTGGCTGGGTGCTGTTTCTAAAAACAAAATAATTCTAACTAATTTGCTTATAAATACTCATTGGTGACTATTTGTGATTTATCCTAAAGCACTAAGATTAGTACATAATTCATTTGTTAATGAGTTAAAGAATTTACTTAATTCAAAGCCATTTAGATGCTTAGCAGCAGAGTGAGGATAGAAGGAAAGGTTAAACAATGATAGCAGAGATGGATGAAAAGCAAGGCGAATGGTTTTCTATATGTAGAAGATATACATTCCAAGGAATCCTGTCTAGCCACCATATCTTTTTTGCCTTCTTTCCTATGTATAGACATGTATTCCACCAATGTCACCTGAATTCGTAAAGTATGTATTTTTTTTAAAAACACACAAACATGAGCTATAAACATCTTTTTTTCACCCTCTATAAGTATTAAAGTGCTATTTGATCACACATTTTAATAATCACATATTTATCAATTTAGGTTGCTATAGAAGAGATGGACCCCACACGTAGCTTCTCTGATATTGTTTAAAGTACAGGATATGGTCTCTATTCTTTCTTTCATTTTATTTTACTTTTCTTTAATGCCCTAATATTAAGATGCCAAGTAAGCTGAAAAAAGGGGAAAATACGTATTAGCCAAATGAACTTAGCAAAATTAATATTGTATATTTCAACAATCATGGTATGCCCAGTGTCTAAATAACTTCATTTCTCAAACTTCAAGCAATATAATTCACAACTGTATCATACTCACTGTTACCAAATATCAAGGTTTTTGATTTCTTGTAGTTTGAATGAAATTTTATTTTTTCCCATTCTACTCTCTATAAATATATCACAGAATGTATTTTTTGGATGACCTTTCCGAAAAATGGACACTGCCTACTTTAACCATGAACTTGGATGCTTGTCAAATCAGAAGTCAAATGTTGCAAAAGCTCTTACGATTGATAAACTCATTGCAGTATTAATAATCTTTGAGATTGTGCAGGTTTACCAACATTGTCTTCTAAACCAAAAGGTTTACATACTCAAAAAAAGCTTATCAATACATAGGAGAATTTTATATATTTATATAAAATTTGTATATATTTAAAATAACCCAATGAGGAATGAAAGATCCTCCATTGTCTTCAGAGCCATATGCAAGGTCCAGAACTCATAATTCTCCTGCCTCAGTCTTCTGAATACTGAGATGTCAAGTGTGTACCCTTGGCTCAGTTGCTGTTATTTTGAATGGCTCTATTAAATTGAATTAATTTACTCTGTGTAAAAATGTATTTAATATTTCTAGATATACACAAGTGATCAAAAAATTTAGTGAGTAGATGAAAGAGAGACTTCCTCTAAAGTCTGAGAGGTCACTGTGTAGCATGGATGACACTGGAGATAAGGATGTCTAAAACCGCTTTACTAGTTTATTTTATTGACGTGGAAGAGGTGTGAAGAAAGTTATGTGACAAGACAAAACAATACAATGAGATCTCATTGATACCTTAAGTAGCACAATGTCACTCTTCTAATGTGTAGGATATCTTAGTTCTATTTTATAAAAAGAACTAAATAGGATTTCAAACTACAGAACTTCCCTTAACAAGTCTTAATTTCTCTTGCCTCCTCAAGAATTGTAGTTTTAATACTGGTAGGTACATTTTTCTCCCTGATTATTCTATGAGTGAGGCAGAACAGAACTGCTATAGAGGTCCTGTTCTCCCCATCCCTGATAAATGCTCTCAGCTTCACTAATTCTTACTTTTCATTTGAACAATTATAACTATGGTTCAAGATGTTAACATTTTCAAGAGGTAGCATCTGCTTATGTTTCTTCTTTATGTGATGTAGCAGGTGGATGGATTTCAACTAAAGGAACAAATCTCAGTTAAGAACTCTTCTAAAGGACCTGAGTTTGATTCCCATCATTCAGATGGTGGATTACAAACACCTGCAATTCCAGATTTAGGGTACCAAATGTCTTCTTCTAGCCTTAGTGAGCACCAGAAATCCATGTGGCACACATACAAAAATGTAGGCAAAATATTAATACATAAAATTAAAATAAATGTTTAAAATATTAATAATGTAAGTGATTCTCATATAATACATATAATTCTTCATTAACGATTATGTGGAAAAGTTCTTTGTATTCCAGCGTAATTTTAAACAATTTTAACAGAATAAAAATAATAACATAAATTTCAAGTCAGTTAAATATTTAAAATAATGCTCAAAAGACTAAAGATATCTTTTTATCAACACACATTAAAAGGTACTGAAAGAAATGAGAACAAAAGTGAGAGAGAAATTTCAGTTAAATTGATTGATAACAAGTAATTGAAGAAATGAACATAAAAGAAATTATGTTTCTTGTCATGTTTCCATTTGTGTTTATTTAATTTATAGTTGGAAATATTTTATGTATTTATTTAACCAATTTTATCCAATATATCATTTCCACATCAATTGTTATATATTCTATGTCATTTTGTATAAAATAATTTTTAATGTGAGTGTGCTTTTTCTGTAGAGCATCTCAACTTGACCTTGTCATGTTTTGGTAACTCAATAGCCATAGAGCTTAGTTTCTACCAAAAATAACAAGTTTTAAATTTCCAAAAGTGAGCAGAGGATATAGAAATTGATTTTCTTGATTCTCTTCTTTCAAGCTCTGAAGAACAGACGAAACAGTAAGACACATGTAGTTTAGGTCATATGTGTCTATGACTGCCAACCAATACAAAACATGCTGGTCAGTTTCTCAGAAAGAGTGCCTAGTTGACTATCATTGAATGTCCTGTTGAAAGCAAAGCCAATACCCTCCTTACTCTAACAACCTTGCTCTGTTACATCTTCAGATCCATCCAACATAAGCAACCTCAGTGGTCCTAGGTATAAGTTCATGGCAACTATGAAAAAAATCTGTCATGCAAACAGTTGCCAATACCATTGTCAAAAAATGTGCAATATTCAGGATAGTAATGAAATAACATATTTTAAATGATAAAATATAGAACTAGAAAATATTATTCTGAGTGAGGTAACTCAGACCCAAAAGGTCATGCATAGTATGTACTCACAAATAAGTGGATATTAGCCCCCACAAAAAGTACAGAATACTCAAGATACAGTCCACAGAACTTAAAAAGGTCAATAAGCTGAAGGGCCCAAGTGAGAATGCTTCGGCCCCACCTGGGAGGAAGTAAAAAGCAATCAAGGTGGAAGGGAGGGACCAGGGAGAAAAAGTGGATGGGGAAGAGGGGGGCCTGATCTGGTACTGGGTGAGGGAAAATGACTGAAGCCCTGAGGGTCAGCAGAAAGAATGGAAACAGGCAACCTCTTTAAGAGGTAGGAGGTTGGGGTGGGGGACCCTCCAGAATGTACCAGAGACCTGGGCAGTGAGAGACTCTCAGGACTCAAAGGAAGGAACCTTAGATGAAGTGCCCTCCAGTAGGGAGAGGGAACATTTAGAGCCCACCTCCAGCAGAAAGACAGAGTGTCAAGTGAGGGATGGGGTTGCCATCCCACAGTCAAAACTCTGACCCATAATGTTCCTGTCTGAAAGAACTGCAAGGACAGACATGTAGAAGAACTTGAGGAAAAGAAGGTCCAGCAACAGTGGGATCCAGCTCAAGGGGCAGCCCCAAGGCCTGACACTATTACTGAGGTTATAGAGCGCTCACAAAAAGGGACCTATCATGACTGCCCTCCAAAAGACCCAACAAGCAGCTAAAAGAGTCAGATGCAGATATTTGCACCCAACCAATGGACAGAAGCTTCTGACTCCTGTGGTTGAATTAGGGAAAGGCTGAAAGAAGCTGAGGAGGGCAACCTTGTAGGAAGACCAGCAGTCTCAATTAACCTTGACCTCTGAGATCTCTCAGACACTGGACCACCAAACAGGAAGCATACACCAGCTGACGTGAGGCCTCCAACACATATACAGCAGAGGACTGCTGGGTCTGGGTTCAGTCAGAGAAGATGCACCTAACCCACAATAGACTGGAGGACCCAGGGAGCTTAGAGGTCTGGTTGTGTGGGGGTGGGTGGTGGGGATATCCTTGTGGAGAAAGGGGAGAAAATAGGAGGTATGGGATTTGGAAAATGAATCTAGAACAGAAACAAAAAATTTAAGGGACCTAATGACTTTCCACTTATCCATTTAATTTGTTATATTACATATAAATTATTTATGTATATTTTAGTATGTATATTAATTTGAAACCTATGATGGTTAGTTTAAACTAGTATTTCTTCTTTGTAACACTTAAATAGTATTGTTTATGCCATTGTCTGCAGGGTTTTTAAACTTTTCTATGTATTTTATGATGCTTTCTTAGATTCAGGATTTGATGGCTATTTTTAAAGGTCCACACCAAAATTTGTGGTGAATTTTATTTGGATTGTAATATATTAAGATGTAGGATACACACACAGACAAGGGGGGGGGGGTGGAGGCTCTTGTTGATTGGCTTTTACTTTGAAGTTCTGTGAAAAGACTGAGCACAGAATCCCTTTCATGCTGCTAGGCAACCCCACCAGTTCTCACCAGGTTCTAAGAAAAGGCATATACATCTGTAAAAGAGGTACATGCCAGAGACACAAGCTAGCGGGAGTTTATAGTTCAAATCTAACCAATTCATTCATTAATTCATAATAGGAAAAATCTACTCAAGATGGCAGAATTCTCATGGCCTAATTAACACACACACACGTACACATATGCGTAAGAAAATCCATCAGCGTAATCCACTACATAAACAAACTCAAAGAAA